CATTTCTCTTTCTAATCTCAACCTTTCTCATTTGTAAAACAAATAGATGAGAAAATTTGAAGGTATATATGTAAAGCAAAATAGTATAAATTGAAATTATAATGTTAACTTTTTTAATATGGCTATCAAAAATGAGACATATTTCTAAAAAAGTTACATGAAAAGTGATATGTTAAATGCAAATCGGGTCGATTGTAACAGGTCAAAGTGCAAAGTGAAAAATTAAACAAATCAAAATGTAATTAAAAGATTGCTTTATAAATTTAGGATTCAGCAAAAGGTAATAAATACTGAATGCGGAGATCGTAAATTTTCGTATACGTTTGTTGAGAATGGTTGTTATTGTATATGTTTGTTGTTTATTCAGCTTAGCATGTATATGTTTCCCGATCTTTTATAATCATCCCGATTAGGTTTATATGAAAATGATAGCAGTAATTTTATTCCCCAGAGAATATTTCAGGCAGTACAAGCGAAATTAACGAGAAAACTCACAGAAAATGAGTAGCAGAAATCTTTTATCTATTTAACAAACAGTCTTCGTATAGTATAAATTTATAAACACATGACGCAATTAACATTTGGTCTCGTATTTTTAAAATTAAACTTGAGATGACAGTTTTGATGATACGAATGAATTTGTCCTCTCTCTCTCTCTCTCCCTCTTTCTTTCTTTCTTTCTCTCTCTCCCATCTTCGACTTATCCCAAAGAGATGAATTTTGATTATCACAATTAAATGAACAGAAAAGAGAAATACAAAAATTCCCCGCCATCCCATTCATCTATTTCACCAGATTAGGGAGAAATGAGAGATACCAGTATGCTTTCCTCCTCTTCCCTTCCTCCTCCTCCTCCTCCTTCTTCTCCTCCTCCTCCTCCTCCTNTCTTCTCCTCCTCCTCCTCCACCTCCACAGGCGCTATCGCCCCACAGTGTGTCAGCAACCGAAAAACGCCTTTTTGCGCCAACTAAACAAATCCAACCGCTCACTACCTTTTTTATTAATACTCCATTGTTCAGCCAGTTTTTTCCTTTTTTTTATTGTACGCCTACGCTATACGCTTTACGGACATTTCCTTTTTTTCATATCGAAAAAACCTTTACACCCGAATTAAACAATACATCTCCCATATCAATACCGCCTCTTCTCCCCCGCCGTTCATACCGCACAGTCATTTCATTCCTTTCATTTCGATCACACGCATACTGACAAATGAAAGCATTAAGATTTCTTAAAAGTAAGCATTCCGTGCCGCGGTACAATTGGTGTGAATTTAATGAATGATTTTCATTAGTTTAATATGGGATGGTATGGGAATGGAATTGTTACCATCTGGCTGCAACATCATTTATTTCTTCACTTCGCTTCACTTCACCGATCTATTCCGATCCGATTCAATCCAGTCCGATCGGCGTGAGAGTTAAAAGATGAGAGAGATGAATAGCTTTAGCTTTTTAGGGTTATGATCCATTTCATATCGATTTAATCGATTGGCTGCAAGGAAAGGAAACCGAAAGAGATTTGTAAGAAAAAAAGTTTTTTTTTGAATGAATGAAAAGAGACTGAAACGTAAAAGGTTAAGATTTCTTCGCTAAGTTTGATCTAGATTTACGATGCCCTATAACCTATAACCTCTCTCTTCCTCTCTCTCTGCATTATATGCTATTTATATATCATTTTCCTATCATTGCTGTTTTCTTTTTTACAAAAGTAATTTTTGTAGCTCATAATTTTTGTTGTGCTTCCTTTCCGCTCTCCGTCCTCCGTCCTTTCAAAATTCTTTTTCCGTCTTGTAAATTTTCTTTTACAATTTAGGGAGATGGATTGAAAACAACGATGATCTTTGTTGATGTCTTCCTTCCTCTCTCTATCAGTACCTTTATCAGTTTAGCGTCGAAATTATCTTCCACATTTTCAAACTTGAAATTTTTCCGCTATTTATTTTTCATACATCAGATCTTTCACACCTTTTCGATTATCGGATTACTCTCTGTGATAACCTTTCATCTTATTATCATCATTTGACCAATCGTTCATGTAATTATCTCTTCTTCAACAAAGATATATAAAATATGCAATTTGGCAAAGCTTGTCTTCACTGATACATATATCATTGATAAGTCTTTTAATAGTATGCGCAAATTAATTGTTATCATATCTACGGTTATGCTTAATTTATTCAATAAATTATCAGTAAGAGGGAAATAAAATATGATTTTAATAGTAATTTTATGTTTTACAAACTATTTTATTATTTGCAAGCATTTTTTCCATTTCTTTTCTCTTTCTTTTATTTTTCAAATTTTGAAAAAATTTGATATTATCGTTTAAAAGAAAACTTCATCATATTTGAGTGGCATATTTGTTGAAAGGATTTTTGCGTGAATAAATAAATACTTAACTTTGACGTTAATTGACGGTTGTAAAAATAATGTTAGTAGTAGTGATGGTAATGTAATGTAGTGGTAGCGGAAAAGTTAGTTTAGTTTATTTTTCAGCTAAAAGGAAGGAATTCATGTTTGGTCCACCGGTTGTCATCATCATTACCAACATCGGCATCGTCATTGTTACCGCCACTACTAACACATATGTGTATACCTTACCTCAAATACAGGAGGGGAAGAGGGCGGGGATGAAGCGGGAATGGGTGTGGGTATGGATCGGGTGCGGGTACGGGAACGGGGTGAGATGGGATGGGGAACATAAGACGGATGAACGAACGAACGGAACACTTGGGAGTGAGGAGCCGGTTTTTTTATGTTTATAATAGTGTGGTATGGTCTCGCTCACTAATACATTTAGGCGTTATGTGCTCTGTTTTGTTATTATGCAATACTAATAGTACCATTGCTTTACCTGATTAAGTTTTCTTATTATTATGTAAATGTGCAGAATTAGAATTACGTGAATGTGAATTTTATAACTATTAAATATGAATCTAACTGATATTTATAAGAAAAGTATGGAAATTGAAGAGAGGGAGAGAGAAAGAGAGGTGTTAAACGTAAATTTTTGCTTATTTTACACGATAAGGTAATTTTTATTTCTTTTCTCTTTATACAACAATTTCTTTTTTATCTTTCTAAAAATAAAAATTTTCATCATCAAATATTAAAAATGGAAACAATTCTTTTTTTCTTTCCAAACTTATATTTACTTCCGGTATGATACGATCCGATGCGAACATTACTTCTTCTTCTTCATTAAAGAAGCGTCAACTTTACACACACACACACACACACATACTCACACATACACACACATACACACACATTCAGTCAGTAACAAATTTCAAAACATAGCCTCTCCCAAAAACGAATGGGACATTTATGAGTTTCGGAAATAAAATATCTATGCGCTTATAGCATCAAATAGCCTTTCTCTTTTTAGTTCTATTTGTGTTCTCATTTCAAAAATCATCCAAAATACTTTCCTCTCATTTTCCTCTCTCTTATTTCATAAATTTCTGTATTTTTGTAACATTCTCATTTCTTCCTTCTCTTCTTTCTATATTTTCAATTTACATTTCATACATATTTTTCCTTATTGTCTTGTTGACAGCTCTTTTTCCAAACAAATTTCTTTTTTTTGTATTACATTATGCTAACAAAGTTTAACTCAAACAACAGATTACCTAGAAATGATTCATTAAATTTAATAATTAATAATGAAAGATTATTTAAAATTATCTTATCATATATCTTTTTTATATTCGCTGAAATAACTTTATCAGATATATCTTTTCTTTCTTTTTCATTTTTGTTGGGGAATAATGAAAAGAATTAAACTTTGTCACCTCAATATCTATTCCACAATGTTAGTTAGCATTTACTACTATATTCGGTAAGCAAAAGCATAAAGCGATATATCTTAAAAGCAGGTGTTATTTATGCGTGCGCATTTGTTTATTTGCATAAATGTCGTCGTAACAGTGCTAACTAACACTTTACTTTATTCTATCCTTCTTTCTTTTTTTCTTTCCCTTCAACTAATTTCATATTCTTTCTTTTAAATATATTGTTAAGTAATATTTGAGAGTGAGAAAGAAAAAAAGAGAAATAATAATCATTTGGATAATGATATTGTGCGAAATAGCGTAAATGATAGTTATCATTGAGATTCTTTCTTTTTCTTTATCAAACAAATAATATATGATATGATCAATAAATAGACCGAGAAATTTTACATATTTTAATTGATTTTTTTCTTTGCTCATTTTTTCATATCTAAAATTTTTATATATTTATTCAGTGTGAGTGAAAAGTTTTGAAAAATTAAATTTTTCTTAAACTCAAAAAAATCTCATATCAGTGAGATTCTTCCAAGTTTTCTTCTTTCATTCAGAAGAATGTAATGGCTAAGCAAAATTAACAGTTCAATGGAATTATTCATTCTCGGATAATGTATTATTGTTCATTTGGATTTTATTAAAGAAGTAAATATATGGTCAAGAAAAGTAATAGTTGTGAAATTGATAATGTGATTGATATTTACCTTTGATTACAACTCTGTTTTCATTTTCAAAGGAATTCTGTCAAATTCCAAAATAATACCTTTCATTGTTCCTTATCAGCTTGAAATTACTGAAGGAATGATAATAATAAATCAGGTAATATGATGTAGAGAAGAGAGAGGAAGAGAAAAAGGAGAAAGAGTGAAATGGATAGGAATAGTAAATGTTGTAAGCATTTGTCGTCGATATCTCGTGCAACTTGCAAATAGTTGTTAAAACAATTTCTATCAGTTTTGTTAGAATTAACTTTTAATGTCAATGTAATCATCTCTTTCCATTTTATCGTCTCACTTTTTTCCATAATATTTTTTTCATTTTCATAAGCTTTGCCTTTTGTTAGTTGACAAAAGGATGATAACAAGGTGATAGTATGATAGTGATAGTGAACTTGTTATTTTTGGTCGATTGTTGATTATTTAATGTTAAACTATTTGTTGTTTTTTGCTATTTCTTTGATTTACCTTCTTTTTTTTGTTTTACAAAGAAGAGAATAAAACCAAACAAAATCATTCATTTGACTGTCATTTATTCCTTTTAAAATAAAATTCATATTTGTTAGTAGATATTTTTCCTCTTCATAACATCCATCATTTGTAGGCCTTTTCTTCTATTATCATAGAGGTGGGATAGACTGATAAATAATAGTTAATTCAATTCAAAATTTATGATTAAATTAAATAGCTGAGATTGTAATCAGAGAGAGTTAATTCAAGTGAATTATTTCATGATTAAATATACAGCTAGAAGTAGACTAATTTATGGCAACTCTTCAAGACCAAATAGATAGGATGGAGAATATCATAACTTACCAATGAGGCTCTCTCTCTCTCTTTTAAAAGTATTTCTATAAAATACAACATAGAAAAAATTGTTGCAGAAATCTGTCTTTTTTAATAATTATATAATTTATTTACAATTAGTAATAACTTTATTCCTTTCGACTGTCTGTAAGAGTATAGAAAAAGTTTTTGGTATAGAAGGAAACATATCAATTTAATATTATTGATAACTTGCTGTATCACATATTTCACTTCATATTTTATTATTCTTTCCCGTGTACTAGGTACAAAGATCATTTGCATATGTGAACACTTTAATATCAACAAAATATCATTAAGTTGACATGAGTATATACGTACGAAATATATTAAAAATCTATTTTAAAAATAACGTTAAAGTATCATATCATCGTGTACAATATTCGTAGACATTACTTTTTTCATTTATAGTTCGTGCGTTGTAATCCGTATGGAGACTACTTCTGAAATTAATTAATAATTAACTTTATTACAGATTCTAATCAATCATAGTGGTCATCAGATAACCATAATAAAAATATTTTATTGCTAATGTTTTCTGATTTGAGTTATTTCATCACTTATTAATAATCACAATTACTGTTACTATAATTCTTCAACTGATATTATAAAATGCCAACAAATGATGGGACACACCGAGAGCTATTATCATCATCATCACCTTTACAACAGGAAGCGCAAATGTCATTACAACATCAGCAACAGCTGGATACTTCAGTTGATGTTAGTGGTACTGTCTCAACAACAACATCAACAGCCACCCCTGGCAGTTTGAATGCTGAATTTTTTCATTGCCTGACGCAAAATCTGTTAGCAACAACAGTAGCAGGTACTAGTGGACAACCGCAAACAACCGATACCGCAACTACAGGAGCTTCGGTTGCTGCTGCATTTGGATTACCTATACCGGATGTATCAATGATGTATGGTAATGTTAATCTGTACAACCTTTTCAATCTTAATTTGCTAACTGAACCGCAACAAAGCCAGCAGCAATCATCATCTCTTCTCACCGAATACCTTAGACAGCGAACTGTGGAAACAAACGCTCGACAACATCAACAACGACAACAGCAACAGCAGCGACAACAGCGCCCCTTGAAAGAAAAGAAACGTGTACGTTAAATTTTCTACAAAAAATGCAGAAATTTTTTATTGGAAAGAATTTGCAAAAGATTTGTGATTATTGCTGCAATTATTGACAAATTAGCTTATAGTGAGATAATTACTGAAATTTGGCATGTATCTAATTCCATTTCTTATTTATGGAAGTTTAAAACAATTATCTAAGACTAACTATATCTTGGCCAATTTAAAGATCAAAATACAGAATGATGTCTACTGTTTCTGAAATTTTATCTCATCATTATAATTGATCTGTCTATCTCTGTTTCTCTCTCTGTATATAATGAATGATCAGATCTTATTAATTATCGTTTAGCTCTTATGTAGAATTGATACTTTTTTTAAAGTGCTAAATTCAAATGATATCTTTACATAATCAGTTAACAATAAATCTCATTTATTCTTACCGAATTTACAAAGAATAATGAATTGCGTTGGTCAATGCAATTTGCGCTCACGTTTTTGTAATTCATATCCCTGTATCTCAGCTTTTAACTCTTAATCATTATATTTGATTAATTTAAAAGTATTATTTTTAATCTTTCAAATTTCCGTTTTAGTTGTTATCGGCAAATATGAGGACTATATAGTGGGCAAAGCAGACCTGTCCTCTAGCATTTAGATAATTTTAGAGTTTATATAAGAGACAGTGTTTGTTATGCTCTCCATATGGTCCCTAATGCCGTAAACTTTTTCAGAGCTATCCCTGCAGTTTTCAGTGGTGTGAATTGTGTCTAAGAGAAGTACATAGTTCGAAACTACCATGTCACATAAGGCAACATCATGTGGCACAACCGATGTTTATTTGTCCACAATGCAAATTTAGCTCGAGCTATTCGAAGAACAATGTCAAAAGTCATATGTCAACAGTACACGGATTAACTGTAAATTTTCATTTTTATTTTCGTACATACTTTTCAATCACTTATTAACACTAAGATTGTCCATTTATCATGGACTTCCATTTTATTTCTTGCCCTTTATACATTATAAGAGTTAATTTAGCGAAAGTTGAAATAGTTGTAGAAAATGAAGACATTTAGAATTTCATTATTTTTCGGTATTTAAAAAGAGCGCACTTTTGATAAACGTTAAATAATCAAATTGGAATCTAGTTAAATACACGAAATTGATGTGATATTTCGGAATATATCGGTTAATTTGAAGTATGACTGTCTTAACCAAGGTTAAGCGTTATTGGAAATATGGAAAAGGAATGAAAATACACTGTTTACAAAATAAATAAAACCTCTTAATGTTAATGTTTGGTCTATGATATCAAAAATATTTGCGATACGATCGATTTGTGATCATTACTTCTTAACAAGCTATTTTGTTAATAGAATTTTTGCAGCTAAAATTTATAAAAAATCATTATTGCACAATACATTGTCAATAAACAAATTATTTCAATATTTTTTTCTTTTTTTTTCAGGAAGAACCAATTAGTCATATGGAAGAGTATGCGGATGAAGTCGAACAATTGATGAAACGATGTTTCCCGACTGTTCGTGGTCGTGGTCGTCCGGTTCATAGTAATATTCGACCATCAACTGCTTCTTCATCTTCAACAGTTAATACGGAATCCAATAACAACTCAAGGAGGAATAGTGCTAGCTCCATAGCATCAGTCAGTAAAATCTCGGTGTGGTCATTTTGAACATGTTAATTTTGTGGGGAAATTGAAAATTTCTAAGCTTAATCCATTTATTCCACCTTGTAAACCTGGCATGGCGGGTATAAGTTTTTGTCTTAAAAAATTTAAATAAATTTGCATATTGTAGGCCCGGTATACACATAGTTATCGCCGTAGGGGTATCAAACATCCAGTACAGGAAATAACCCATGAGCTTTATTCACCGGTCAGCAATAAACGGGTCAAGAATGAAAACGATGAGAAGTAAGTTTACCTAAAATTATAAGGCTATATCTATTAATTTTGTATATATTTCCAATATTCCTTTTTTTCTTTTAAAATATCATTATTTGCAGCGAATCTGAAATAACTATTAGTCAAACGCCAGTCGGTGCTACCGGTCAGAGTTCACCAAGCGAGGTATAAGTCACTTTTTCCAACAAAGTTCAGTTATTTTTTTGAATGTTTTGTTGGCAAAGATTGCACATAAGGCAAAATTGCTTGTATTATTGAGTCTTATTCATGCATAACATTTGAATAATATTTTAAAGGTAATTCTTAATTTCTCGTAACTAAATAAGTTGATTCAAATATGATCTTTCGATAATTTACTTTAAATGTGGCTTTACTTGATATTAAGATACTATTCAAATTTTATTTGATATTAAGCGCAACGAGAGCAATTATCTATCTTAGTTTCTTTCCTTGATCTATTTTATTTTCTGTTCTTGATTTGTTTTAGCTCCGGTTTCTGATTTTAGCTTCTGTTCTTAATTTCACCAATATTCGCACTCCTATTCGTTGATTTAGACTACTGTAACGGAGTAATTTGTCCATCTGCTTCTTGCGTTTTCTATACACTGTGTGGGCATTATTAGCTTGTGATATAGCTAGAGGTTTCGTTACTCATACAGCTCTTCGTTGGTCATTGGCTTCTCGTTTTTCTCTGGAGGTCATTTCATGAATGCCAAGAGTGAGCATGTCGGTTATATGTACCGAAAAGGCAATATTAATACATAATTATTAAGAGCCATGGAAAATGAAATAAACAATAATGAATTTCGTTACAGGAGGATTCTTCTAGTATTAGCAATGTTCCGCGTCTTGATATCAAAGGTGCCTACAGCAAGAATATCAATTACAATCAGGGAACTAATAGCTATTATAACCACAATGGAACAAATGATTATAATGAGCAAGTCGAAAAGTATAGGTCATCTACTGGCTATCAAAATGGAATTGATCGGAGTGAAACAATTGCTAATGACAGTTCGCCAAGTTCATCAGAGCATGTCAATCATGATGCTGAATTGGGTACATTATAAGACTAAAATTTATTGTTCATTTTCATTGTGGCATTAGAAAGTACTGCGTGGATTAATCCATATGTTTAAATCAAGGATATGAAGGATCGACCATCTAACTGGTAGTTAAGTAGCTCTGGTATTTTTGATTTTCAATTGGTACTCAAAAAAATTTCAGAAAGAGTAATCATTGCAGAAACAGAATCAAATGACTCAAGTGTTCATGATTTTGATGAAGAAGAGCAACCATCGGGACATATCGATCATGTTCGTCCCCGGTACGTCCCAGTCATACTTTATTATTCATATATAGCAATGAATATTTGAATATTTAATAATTCAAAGGTTTTGAATTTAGATTTTGATCCTAATTTAATACTTCTCACTGATAACTAAATGCATTTCTCCAGCTATCTTCCACAAAATGCCAACTGGTGGATATTGGCTAATGATCAGCTTAAAGGGACTATTTTTGAAACTTTTCGATTGAATGAAGTACTTCATGTAAGTTGTTTACTATTATCCTTCTTGTCTTTTCTTCACTTCCATATTTCAAAAACAGATACTAATTTTCTATAATTGAGTCAAATTCGTTATAGCTTAGTTGCTTCAGCGCAGCTGATATTTCAGAAATTTCCACGACAACCGTATAAACTAGGCGGTAAATTTTTTTTAACTGAAGAGCAATTTAAACGGGTACAGGAGGTCAGGCAACAATTATCTCTTGATTTGGCGAAACTTCGTGATGCACTGTACAAGTAAGTTGAAACCTTATATTTTAAAACTTGCAAAATTTTTGACCTTTCATAACATTGATGTTATTCCATTTTCAATCCCTGGCAACTTCTTATTAAACATCTATATCTATCTGTAACGATATCTGTAGCGCAAGAAGTGGTCCTGAGAGTCACGTGACAGTTCTAATTTATTCAAATAAAAAACTTCTTTTCTACGCCTAAATGAATGATTGGTACGGTGGATATATATCTGTTCAACCGATTTCATCGTTGATAATCATGCAGTAGCCAGTGGGCTTCACCGTTGATAACATACACTCCCTACTTTTTGGGAAATTGCATCATGGCGGCGATATTCATCGACAATGATTTATTCTCGATTAATATATAGAAGGAAGCCGCGCCGATTTCCTTTCTGCACCTCCTCTCCTCTTATTGTACATACAATGAAGTCTTATTATTCAGCTTGGATTTAAACATCTTACCGGTAGAACAAGTTGATTTGATTGCAAATATTGCGCCAACTTCGATGGATGTATTCTGTTTGTTGGATTGTGAAAGTGCTGAGCCTACTGCACTAATTGGAGAAAATGAACAGTTCCTATTAAAGGTTAAAGTTTGTGGAAAATAATCAACATTAAAGTAAATGAGCTGATTAGTATAAAAGAATAAAGAAATCTTTTCTTCTAATGTTAGATGAGAATTGAAGTTGCAATTAGTCGAAGGTCAAGAGAGTATCTAACTAATATTTTTCGGTATTAAGCAAATAGCATCTTATGTTTTTATCAGGGGTATAATTAAATTTTAGTCATCTATGCTGTTAATAAAAGTATCTTTGCTATCAATTGAATCATAAATAAATCCCTAACGAAAAGAGAATTGAGTGACAATTTTCCCAGTAGAAAAATATCGTCAAATATTTACGAAACAGTCAATGGCGTAATTCAGCTTGCAAAAATTGATCGAATAGAAGAAAAGTTACATGCAATGTCATTCATGGGACATATTAACAGCCGTGTCACGGAGATCCTAAAAGTTAGTCCTTTTTTCGTTTAGAATTGATGCAAATTCAAAACATTCGTCAATTAAATATCAGTATTCATTTTTAGTGTGTGTCAAAACGATGGTATTAGTCAGTTGTAAAAATCATCGGAAAAAATTTTAGCCAAAAACCGTAAGAGGAATTTCCGGAGCTCATAATGCTTTTGATGATAATTGAGTTGTGGCATTGAGAGTTTTAATTCTATCTAATTATTTCATTCGGTTCTACCAGACTATTTCATTCTACCTAATTATTCATTTCTGTTTAATTGTTTCATTTCAGAGTTTTGAAGACCTCACTAATATTGTGAAAGTTCTGAAGAAAAATCGTGGATTTCGTGCTTTGTTGCGTGTTGTCCTTGTCTTCATGAACTTTATCATCGGAGATTTTACAGCCAGAACAATTAGAGGCTTCAGGGCATCAGATCTCACAAAAGTGAATACTACTAATCGCTGTTTTTTTTTATCGCTATATTAAATCCTGCGAATAATTTAAGGGTTTTTCATATAATACTGATTTTACATTGATATTTTGATATATCAATTTTGTAGATTTGTGCTGCGGAAGTGTGTAACTCACCAAAAACAACGTTACTGAATATTGTAGCATCATCAACTATTTCGGAATTTCCTGAAGTGTGTATTTTTCGTGATACTCTTCCGGCACTGGAGAAAGCTTCACGAGGTTATTCATTTATTGCTAACTAATTGCGACTGTTAATAGTCGAAAGTGTTCCCATTTGTCAGTTTATTCTTGAAATGTGCAAATGAGAATGTTTAAGGGTTTTATATTCTTAAGAGAATTTGAACAAGATCGTTCTGCAAATGTAAGCAATAAAAGGTATCATGAAAAAATTTTCCAAAAAAAAGGCTAATATTATTTCAACCTAAAAATCATTTTTGGTTTTGTGATCAGTGAACTTCCAAGAGCTTTCTGCAACAGTACGACGCCTCGAACGCGACTATTTGCGATTTGATCGAGAAGCGAGTCGTTTGGACGATAGAGGACAGATTGCTGGATATAGAGAAATCATCAGGAAAAAAGTGATGGAAGTAAAGGATAGCTATCGTGAATGCAAGGTTCCCATTCTCACTTTTTTCACTTTCTTTTTATTTGAAATGAGATATTAAAATAAGTATCATACTATGATACTGCAGATCAGTCTATGCAAAACGATGCGTTTCTTTGGCGAATTAGTAGACGAAGATATTGGCCCAGAAATTCCTGAAACATTTTTTGCCAGTATCGCTACTTTCTATCGCCAGCTTCAACGGGCCTGGATTGATGTACATCTGCACGGCATCCCAGTGACCAAAGCTGTTTGAATGAGCTTGATATCTCTATTAATTTTCATAATATTTTTACACTGACAAATATAGGACATATGGCTTCAAGTCCGTTCATTTTGCATGTAGTTGAAGTTATCTTTTGAAATGGTATTTCCAATTTACAGCAATTCCGGAATAGTCTTATTTATGAGAAAAGTATGATGTTTCACTACTGCACGTTTTCCAACATTGGAGTCAATGTGTGCGGAGATGGGACTATATTTGATCCTTCATTATTGTATGACAGTTTCTTTATTAGCATATTTTTTAATTTCCGGAAATATGTCCTACCACATCTGGATTAAATGCCACCCTGCCACCTTCATCCTAACTATTAAGGCATTTAGGATAATCTCTTGGAAGCTAAAAGTTTCATTTACTTTATGTGTTGTTATTATCATTATACATATTTTGATTTCGAACTTATACTTACCTCAGAGAACAACTATGAAAAGAATTGCACTTCCATCACTTTCATATATTTTTAATAAATTGATACATTAAGTGATCATGTTTTCGGTGCTTCAAGCTAGCCGGTTAACTGTATTACTGATTATCTTATCATCATCGGAACTTGCACTTAGTTAAAATTTTTTTTCTTTCAAAAAATAAGTTTAGTAAGTTATCGCTTTAGTGCAAAATCCGAATGTTGTTATGTCTAAAATGTTTTTAGTTATGTCGAAAATGTTTTTAGTTGCGATTTCGATTTCCGCATCGCTACTGATTTACTGTTCATTTTATGTTTTGATAAATCAGTTTGCTTTTTCCTTCCATTCCCACCGATTTTGATGATACGTTTCACACTCACACCATCCATTCATGCACGCTCTGATTGATATTTCAACGATTTGAATTTTTTCATTTATTAAACCAATCGTATTTGCATGTAAACTTTTTTTGGCACCATATAACAAATCATATTTAATCATTTCACCAAACAATCGAACTATTGATTTTATATTAACCAATTCATCTAATTCACCACAGTTGATTGAAGATGTGTGAATACATCAATCGAAAATGCTACATTTCTTATGCTAGTTCATATAGGTCAAGTCCTGCAAAATCAATTTACGGTGACTAATTTTTTTTGAGAGTTGCCGTTATTTTAATAATTAGATGACAAGGATGTTAACAATTGCGTTCAAAGTAATAGAGTTAGAATGATAAGGCCAATTCGATAAAATCAGAATGCGAAAAGATAGATATATGGCCGTAAAATAACGAAGTTGTTCATTGAAGAATTAACCAAGTTTGGTTTTTTGATTATGGTCAAGTAAACTACCTTGATGGACATTATCAAAACGAGAAGTGACATCGAAACAGTCAGTAATAACCCATGTGAAGCGGTCATTCATTATATCAGATTTAACCCTGATATTTGACGATGCAGTTCTGCTAAACGGCAGCCCAATTTTTACCGTCATTTACAAAATTATTCCCAATTTAGTGGTTCTGGTTTGGAACTTTAACTAACGTCAATACCGATTTGCAGTCATATTTAAGAAAGATAAATAACTTCTGAATCTTATATAATTCTGTCGCTAGTGTTGCATGTTACTATCATTTTCTTAGATACTTTACCAATAATATAATTGAATGGAAATTTAAAGCGACAAAAATTTCAATTTATTATTGCAACAACTTAACCAGCAACAAAAATAGAGGCCTAAAAATATTCACGTAAATGAATTTCGTTGAATCTTCAAAATTTCATGTCTGGAATCGACAGTACTTATAGGCCTGAGCAAGTTAGTCGTCAAATTTCATTCTCAAAATTTAGCTAAATTTGAAAGAGCTGGGCATAGCATACTATTTATATATTTACAATTTCTTTTTAACTAATAGAAATATTATTACAATTAAAAATTAATCGCTATTTTTAATACATTTATTTGAGTAAAACTTGTAAGGAAACAAAGAAAACAAAAATTAGTTATTAATTTCTATTTTACTTTTCCATTTTGATCTTATTTTTTTTGCTTATAAAACAAACTTCTTCATTAATTAGCGATTAATTTTTAATTATAATAATATTTCTATTAAGTTAAAAAGAAATTGTTTTTCAAGCTTATTAAAAATAATTTTTCAGATTTGTAGTTTACTTTTGAAAATAACTCAAAACTAATCTATTATGTAGGATAGAACCGATCTCACCTTACTTTTCCACTATACTTCTCTATGCATTATCAAAAATTTTTTTTGCTTCATTATTTGCAGCAATCATTGAAGACAATGATCATAAGCTAATTTTAGAAGTTCAAATAATGTTTTCAATTAAAATTCATTTCTTATGACATCTTAAATGGGTGCCATTCATTTATTATCTGCCAACAAATATTTATCATAATATTCAAATCGAAATTTCCACTAATATTCCTTAATTATTAATGATCTTACAACAACATATTGCAGGATATGTTATTTATGAATCAAAATCCCTTCTACTTGTAATTTCATTTTCTTCAGTTACAATTTAAAAAAAAGATCTATCCCTCTTATTTTTGTCACTAATGGAAACAATATGTTGTCGAAAATGCGAAATAATTTTATAATATAAAATTTATGAAAGTATTTTGTAGAAATTTATATTGTAAAAATTATTATCCAAAATATTGCCAATTAAGTGATTTTTTTAATTGTTTTATGAAAAATCCCGCTTATTTATTTAAGTTTTCAATTTATTTGATGTCATTTAAATTTTTGAAATAATCAATTTTTCAATTAGTTATTCTTATCTGATAACTCTCATTTTATAATAGCTTTCGATTCACTTTTAATCGTTGATATCTAATTGATTATAAAAGGCAGTCTTTTTCTGATACATTAGATCGATCTTATTCCAAACATTGACTTCCACTTCTTGTCATATTATATTCTACAATAAAAGTATCTTATGATGTTTCACTATTATGCTATACCAATACTACCACTACTATATTCAAACAATTCTCTTCTCGACTATTACTTCAGCTAATAATTCCAAACTATAATTTCCTATCAGTAAGTTAATCAAATGATCATCAATCCTATTATTGATAAATGATTGATAATTTTTCTATAACATCAAATAAGAAAATCCCTTCTAAAAAAGAAACTCAACCACAAAAACTTTCACCAAACTATTCCATTATCCTTCTCAAATCAATCAAAGCTTTCCCTAAAGAAGAATTAAATTCACATTATGCGTTGTAAAATGATTTCAGTAATTAATTTTAGTATCAATTGATTTGAAAAAAAGATTTTTTTGACTATAACATAACATAGCATATTACTTTAAAATATCATATCACTTTTTTCATTTCTATCATGAAATATTAGGGAATAAATTTTTATGAATTACTGTTTTACAAAAATGATTTCCAAATCATTTTAGTATTAAATTTCTATAGACATTCTTATTTCGACAATTTTTATTTATTTATTTATTTATTTTCATATTCCATTTTCTTTTTATTGATTTTTTTACCACATTTTTTTTCATTTTTTATCCATTGAGGATACGATGTGCTAATTCATCTATCCATCCATCCATCCATCCATCTATCCATTTATCCATTCTTAATGATTGTGTTGAATGACGACGACGACGAGTGTGTGTTTTAGCTGAAAAAGCTATCATTGCGGAAATTTTTACAACATTTTTTGACAATTAATTATCCATGCCGGAAGATTAATTTATTGATAAAATTGATCAATGATTGATTAAATGATAAATCATTGAATTCAGAATTTTTTTTAATATTTCCACTAAATATTCGATCATTTTTATTGCTATTGCAAAATGATTTATGATAGAGTATAAATGTTTAACACATATACTATTTATATAAATTGGCCTAAATATGAAAGGTTTAGTAAGCTAATTAAATTTCTTTAGGATCTGTAATTTAGCAATAATATATTGGCTATTTGAAAAAATTGAAAATAATATTTTAGACTACGTATATTAGAGGTAAGCAGTCAATAAATGCTGCAAGGCCTATATGACATTATGGCTGTTATTTATTACTTTTACAAATATTTCATTTATTTTTCGATTATTCAAATTATTATGTGCTGCTATTTATGGTATGCATTTCTGTCTCTATCAAAATATCTATTTTATTTGTCATCGATATTTTTTGCTCATTCTAAATTCACTTTTAGTAATAGCTCAATAGAATCATTAAAATTATCTTAATCGGTAAATTTGTTAATAAGTTTAAAATATTTACATTTAATTTTTAGCTTCCAGGCTTATAAATTTAACTTGTATGATTATAACGAGGAGAATGTTTTAATAGATTTCGTATTCGTTTTAAATTTTAATGCTTTCTTTGTTTGATTGTTTAAATTTGTCTAATTAGCGAAAAAAAATTGAATCGAATATCCGCTTACTAAATTAATGTGAAGTAGAGAAGGCCTTATATTTAAGTTGAATGAATGTGATAAATTTATAAGTGCAATAATGGTGTTATTCTAACAGAATTGAAGTACCGTGAACGTTTTCTCAGTATTAACAACATAAGAGACCGAGACAAACACATTTTTAGCTAGGCTTTAGACTAGCATAAGCCTATTTTTCTGCCATCATCATCATCATCGAAGTTGCAGTTTACGGATAACAGAGTGACAGAGAGCCCAGAAAACAAATTGATAGATGTTTTCTTGTTTTCTTTTTACCAGTTCTATTATGGTCTTATGTAGAAACTATGCTATTAGCAGGATAATACCAATACCATTATCACCTTTTTCCTTTTCTTTTTCTGCCGTATTCTTTTGCTTCATTTAATCATTTCATTTTTTGATATTCATTTTGACAGCTATCTTTATGAATGATAACTGATATAAAATTGTATGTAAGCTAATTATTCAAAAACTAAAATTTGCGCTTTCTTGAATTTTCAATAGAATTTTCAGTTTCATCTCGTGACCATTCGATTTGCATCTCATTAAGTTGAAAATTAATTGTAAAGATTTGCTTAATTTCCAACTGAAATCATTTCTTCTCTATC